ACCGCTTAACTTCTCTCTCTCTCTCTCTCTCTCTCTCTCTCTCTCTCTCTCTCTCAAATGTTGACCTTTCAGATTTCCTAACAAACGAAAACCCTAGATTGAGGGAGCTATCGAGATCCTAGATCTCTGTATTAGTCTCTAATTCTTCTCATTATGAAAAATATAATGTTTTCATCATTAAGGAGGGAGCAGTATACTTTTGATGTAAGCATACGTTTGATGAGTATACTCTGGTCTAATAATTGCTTCATTTACTTTATTGTAGGTGAATTTCAATGAAAGTTTGATGAGATCCGTAAGAAGCGGGTGCGAGTTCTAAGTCTCGGGCGAAAATCAAAATTAGTGAGAGAATCCTAGTCGATGAAGCTGCTTAAATTTAGTTTTTATGCTTGAAATTTTAGGTGAATTTATGACATTTCGATGTTAGACATACATTTCCTGAAGACTTTTCTTGCGGTAATATTTTCGAGCTTGTGGCTGAGTTACGAAACATTTTGTTCCTATTGTAGACTTCCAGCACAGTTATTCTGTTGTTTCAGTTTTAATTTTGCTACAGTTTATTTTCCAGAGTTTTGTGTGATTTACTTGTTAGAATTTAGAATGTTCTTGTTTGATGCATTTGCTAGCATCATATCTCTGTATCTTTTTTTTTTCTTGTTGACAAGGGAAACCCGGTCACCACTCATAGTTTTAACTCCTTTTATCTTTGGAGAAGCTAAAATGACATACTTTCAATCTCCATTCAGAAGTTTCTTTTGGCTCCAAATTTAACTTTCTCGTTTTAAGGATTGAGTTATTAACAGTTATAAAAGCATGCAATAAGACAAGCTCATAGTAATGCTTTCATTTGTCTCGAGCAAAATCAAAATTAGAGAGAGAATCCTAGCCGACGAACCTGCTTAAAAGATTATTTAGGCTTTATGCTTGAAATTTTGGGTGAATTTATGACATTTCGATGTCAGACATACATTTCCTGAAAACTTTTCTTGCAGTAATATTTTCAAGCTTGTGGCTGAGTTGCGAAACATTTTGTTCCTATTGTAGACTTCCAGCACAGTTATTCTGTTACTTTAGTTTTAATTTTGCTACAGTTTATTTTCCAGAGTTTTATGTGATTTACTTATTAGAATTTAGAATGTTCTTGTTTGATGCATTTGCTAGCATCATCTCTCTGTATCTTTGAAGAAGCTAAAATGACATATTTTCAATCTCCATTCGGAAGTTTCTTTTGGCTCCAAATTTAACATTCTCGTTTTGAGGATTGAGTTATTAACGGTTATAAAAGCATGCAATAAGACAAGCTCATAGTAAGGCTTTCATTTGAATGCGATAACATTCTCTCTTACACACTTAAGAGCTAGTTTAGGGATGCTTCTAGCTTAAATGATTTTTATTTTGTTTATGAGGCGCTTTGAATTTGTAATCAATAAATTTGAAAATCATGTGTACGCAAACAATAGATTTGAAATCAAGGGATTTGAAATCCTTTCATTTAAAAACTGTATCCAAACAAGTGATTTGTAAATCTATGGATTTCAAATCTTTATCTCAAATTCAAATCTTGTTTCCCAAACGCAGCCTAGAGTAATTTTTTACGATTGAGGGGTATTTTGACCTTTCCTCAATCACCTACTTGTCATATGACATGCTAGACCTAACGAACTTAGCTTTTAGGGTGTAAAGTGAGAAGAGTTTGTAAGGGTTTCTCGAATTTTCAAACTTGACGACGGTTATCTACTATAGGCTTAAACTTGACAGAGGTTATTCATATTAAAATAGTTTAGGGGAATTTTTTGAGGCACACCCCATATTTGAGGAAGGTTAAGTGAGAAAAGTTTAACGATGGTTATCTCAAACTTTTATAGTTGAGAGGTTATCTATAATATGCTCAAACTTGAGGGGTTTTTCTCAAATTAAAATAATTGAGGAAAGGGGTTCTCTAAAATCAACCCATGATTTTATGTAGAAGCTCTCTACTTGAGTTTTTTCTTCTTTAGTTTCTATACTCTAATATATGATTGTGAGATTTTTTTTTTAAATTATGGATATTTATAATCTAATAAGGATTACAATATATTTGATTATTAGAATTCTCTAGTTATCGATAGTTTTATTTTGATGAGGGTTCTTAGGTGAATATAGAATTAGGTGTTAACGTGTCATCTTTTGCTAGGATTGAAGGTCATGTGGATACTGAAACATGCCAGTTATGATGGCACGCGTGTCAATTTGTAATGCATTTAAAAGTTCCACCAATTTCTCTTTATACATAAAATGAGGGATTAGACCCCCAAATCTTTGTTAATCCTGTATTGGGCCCTTATATCTCATATTTCTAAATTAGACACCAAAATCTTCATATTTGTTAAAAATGGGGGCTTTATTTAAAACAAATTTATAGATTGGGAGTCTTATTTAAAACAACCTAGCAAAATTTTAGGGATCTGATTTAGAAATATAAAGATTTTGAGGATCTGATACAGAATTAACAAAGAACTAGGGGTATAATATAATAAAAAACCAAAAAATACAATAGCAATAGGTTATTAGTTAATGACAGATACTGATACCTCTGGAACTGCCAAATGCTGGTTGCCAGCATTAATAAACTTTGTCCATGGTTTTCGGCTATGTCTGCAAAGAGAATCATTGCTTTGAGGAAGAAAGAATAACTGTAAACAAAGAATTCTAAGTTTCTACAAGAGATGTATTGAACCTTCCAACCAGGGCCTCAAGACACGGGTCAAGAGCCAGCCGATATTTGCTGAGATATAAATTTAACTCCTCTGTTCCAAGCACCTAAAATAGAAGATGGGCTTCTATGTCAAAATACATGCTTATTGGATGTGAATGCAATTGTAAGCCTTAAATATTCGAACAAACACCAACATAAGAATACTCTCATATGAATGCAATTGGAAGCCTTGAATGTGCACATATTAACATAAGAGTATTCTCTGAATACATTATCATGTACAACTTTACCTGTTCTTATTTGTAACTGGAGGACAATAACCTTTCTTCTGGACACTATTTCTAAACAACAAACTAAACTAACTGATAGAAAAGACAATAATATGTAAAGGAAAGATTTCGGAATAATAATGATACACAATCCATAAGCAATGTTCCATTCGCCGCTGAATCATGGATGCAGCTCTACATTACCATGCAACTTCCCCCCATATATTTGATCATACACAAATCGACTAATGTCCAATGTCTTGTCAGCGCTCTACATTAAATTTCATGCACATGTGGGTTTTTTTCAATGCAACATTTCATAAGAGCATTAAATTAAACATGTAATTGACTCACTAGAAAACAATATGTTAAATAATCATTGAAATCTATTTACATACCTTGGCTATCTTGACCAATTGGTCGTGGTTGTCTTGTCCATAAAAAAATGGATCTTTCCGAAATATCTGTGAAAAAGGAGTTGCTTGCTGAGGGAATTCCAGCAATACAAGTGAATCAAATCTAATTCTGACAACTCACCATTCCAGCAAACATACATCCGAGGCTCCATAAGTCCAATGAATAATCATAATCTTGCAGGTCAACAAGTAGTTCCGGGCCCTTGTAGTACCTGAAATGAGATTTTGGGAATAGCACAAAGTTTTTTGGAATAGCCTAAAGACGCTCAGAGTAGAATCTAGTGTAAAAAGGCTAATTATTGCACAATCTCCAATCCCAGTTATAACTTGAATATCTTGGGAATCAATTAAAATTCCATTAAGAATAAGCAAGTTGCTACGCCTTCCTAATTGCATGTATTAACAGTAGAATTCATGAGCAAGTGATGGTTGAGCTTACATTATGTACAATCAAACAGAGAAGTTTCTTGAACTTGATTTTTGAAATCTCTAAACATTATTTTCCCCATACTCCAATGATGTACATAACTAGCTAATCAATATGGTGGAGACTTAAGCTTCCCGCATCCCTGCATGGGGTTTCCAGCATTAATTCCTAATGTAACTTAAAATCACCAACTTATAAGAATGGACTACGAGTCTTGTATCAGTGGCAGATAGAGAACTTCTAATTTAAATCATTTTAGTGCATGTGCTTTACACGTGGGCATACTTGTGAAATAATTAATTAGTAATATCTTTTTTATCAAAATCAAAATCAAAATTTTGTAGCTAATATTAATAAATGTGATATTTCGGTAGTTATTCTTTTAATAAATCTTAAATACTTTTTTGGGTGGCACTTGGTTCTTGCTAGGAAGTTCAGACAAAAACCCTAAACCTGATGCTCGCAATGCCCATTGATCCTCAAGTTCAATATTTTTAAATTAAAAATATAATGATAGCTACAGTACTTCACTTATATTATTTCACTTATATTATTTCTCCATTACAAAAGAGAAATTTTAGTGCCCTACAGTTACAAAGAGACATGCATTATTGAACGATGCACTTTATGTTATCAAAGAATAAAAAAAAGATAAATCTTTTATCTTTTGTGTCATCAACAATATTAGTTTGACTTGAAGGGTTCATGCACCTTCCGATAAATATAATATTAATATGTTTAGTTATATAAAATTAAAATTTTTGTAATTCTATTTGTAATTTGTTTAAAATTATTTTTATGAACTATTATTTTCTATGTTATAGTATTATTTATCAATGTATGTTTTTTATTTGTCGTAAAACAATCATATTATATAATTTATATGTGTATGTGTATATAACCATCAAATTTATATACACTCAATTTTATACAACTAACACACAAATTTAAAAAAATAATTGCAAAAGAAGAAAACAAATGAGGGAAGAATCTTGAATTGAGTAACTTATGCTTTGACTTTCATAATAAAAAACTTATGCATTAAAATTCCTAATAAAAGATTTATGCATTGAATTAATGCTAGGATGAGGGATAAGAGATCATTAATTAAGTGAATTGAGGAATTATCAAACATAGGAATTATAAATATTAATAGGGGCAAAATAGGAAGTCAAAAGTTTTGACACCCATATTCTCTTTTATTAGTATAGATAGATTAAAAGTGGCAACTGAACTTAAGAGCATACTACCTCTAGCATTCACTCTAACATGCGGCTGACTTTTACACTTGTCTAGGACCAGGAGACGAACAATAACTTTAGAAGGAAAAAAAGAGAAAATAAAAGAGGAAGATACCATTGTGGTTAAAGGAATGCAGAACTTAAGTATACAAGTGTATTAGATTCTTCTCAGATTCTTGAAAAGCATAGAAGATAATTAAGGAATGAACACAGCAGCATGTCTGTAGCGCGAATTGGCATTTTGGCGATGATGATGAAAGTATGGATAAATACATAGTAATAGGAATTGGTTTTGAGTTTCAATTTGACATTAATGGAGGAACTGCGGGCACACGCACACACATGTATGTATGCATGCATGTATGTATACATACATAAATACATACATATGTATGTATGTATGTTATACATACATATATATATTTATATATGTGTATATAGACCTATATATACCTACATATATACATACATACATGCATGCATCTATACACACACACATAAATATATGTATATGTATATGTATGTATACATATATACACACACACACATACATATACATCATGGCTTATATTGAAACATAAGAGTAAATTTGGAAAGAAGTTCAACTCAATACATGTAACATAGTTACACAGATAGTAAATATCACACTAACTGTATGTGTGCACCCGAGTGTCAATGATCTAAAACAAAAAGGATAGACTATAATATTGACTCCTTGAGGAAACGTGTCAAACTTTGTGTCGTTAGTAGAAAACATGCTAGAGAATTGTCCTACTAAAATGCAAGGACATCTGAGCAGCATCACGATTGATACGTTTTTTCCCACCAAGATGGCCTAATAATAGAAGCAACGGTACATCATAACAGCATCAGTACAGCAGCATAATGTGAAGCATAGTATAGCAACACAAGCACAAAGTTTGGTTTTGTCAAGATGTTCCTACCAGCCTAATGGAAATTGTTGTGTGAGTGCTAGAATTTATGTCAGCACAAATATGAAATAATTTTGTATGCACTGCAGGAATTAACCAAATAAAAAAGCATGATTCATGATGCATACTTCTGATATCACTAGTAAATACTGGTCTTTTCAATGTTACATTAAACGATGGGCGCTTTTAGGCGTCGGACTTGATGCCCAACGCTTAGTCGCCTAGGCGGGCGCCTAAGCGGTTTCTGGGCGCTTTTTTTTTTCATTTAAGTGGTGGTCGATGAGGTTTTGCTGAAGGTCGGAAGAGGTAGTGGAGATGTTCATATTTGGAGGTTAATGGAGTTTGGAGGACGTGTATGCTACGACACATAAAATCACAATCAAGACCTACAGTGTGCAATCCACGTAAGCAGACAATGCTCCCCTAAACGCTCGTAAAATTTACGTGGGCAGCCTAAATACCGACTAGGCGCTAGGCGCTAGTTAGGCGACCTAGGCACCGCCTAGGCCTAGGCGTACGCCTAAGCGGACTAGGCGGAGGTTTTTTAAAACAGTGGGTCTTTTTATCCAAAAGTAACTTTTTCCTGAAAAAAGATGTCAGTGATACTGGTACATAATGCTGCAAAAGTTTGTATATATTTGCTACCATTTGCACATGCATATTTTGGGACATTCATAAAAATTAGTGGAGGGTCGTATTGACACCAAAACTTCATGCATTATTTGATGTCCCCATAGTCCACAGCCTTCATAATTAGTTCTCAACCCAATGCATCATTTGAGGTCCCCATATTATCCTCTATATGAAATTCCAACAAAGATTTAAGAGATTGTTCCTCAAACTTTATAATGTAAGGTACACTCTAGTACTGTTATTCACTGGTACATACTACAGACAGCATATGCAGGAGCATATACAAAAAGAAAAAAAAACAGTAAAAAAATAAAAAATCTGGAATAAATGTAGAAATATCCAGGAGACTTAAGTATGCAGCAAATGATATAACAACTGACTAGAGGAGCACTTGTATACATTAAAGAAATATTAATTACTACTCAAGTAAAGAAAACAAAAACAATTGAACAAGGGGGTCCTGGAGTATACAAAATGTAATAGAAGAATTTTAATATGTTACTAAGCAAATTCAAATAGGATGTATTATTGCGCGTCTGCCTTCAAATCTTTCGGTATTTTGGAACTTATCTTCAAAACGCCCAATTTACACCTCAAGTCAGATATAGACCCATCAGTCCAGCCCACTGTGTTATTGTTAGAGAACTGAGAATGGAATATTCTCTAGTTTTCTATTAAAATAATTAAGAATTTGAAACTACAACTAACCATTATTTCTTCCTCCCTATTTTTCACTTCTGTTACAACGATTAAGAAGTTTAAGATATGCCTAACTACCCTCTTCTCCACTTTTCTATTAAACATGATTGGTGGTTATGGGCATTGGATGCAAATAGATATAGCATAGCAGAACAAGTGGTTTTAGCCTACTTTTTCACGAAGGACATTCAAATGCATAGAAGATATAAGGTTAAGGATCTATATCCCATGGGTGTAGGTGCAGGAACAGACATGAGTGCAGACACGGGACACAACAAATTTGTAAAAGGTACAAAATGAGAAAGGTACAAAATGAGGGACACAATATGTATACACATTGAAATAAAAAATTTACATGAGATCGGTATGGGCTGAAACGACCCCAGCGCGAGTCCATCGCGTTATAGAAATTAGAGATGAAGTGTATGATCTACGTCCAAGAAGGTATTTTACTTAGAATTGTGTTCGTACGTGTCCGTACAATTGACTTAGTTTGATGAATAACAAAGCTTCATACGAGTCTAATATGTATTTGAGATGTATACAAGTTACACGATGTTAGAATCAAGTTCGGAAGTAAAAAGAGCAAGAAACAAGTCAAGTTCAGAAGAACGATTTTACTCATCGATGAGGGATCAGACTCGTCGATGAGGAGATTAAGCTCATCGATGAGAATGAGGTAGACAAAAAGCAAAAATTATTGGGTCCTTCACTGATGAGTACTTGAGCTCATCGATGAATCTAGAGCTGAGCTCATCGATGAGTGGCGGCGTCAGATCTTTTGAATTCGTTTTGAACCGTTCGTTAGTGAGGCTATATAGGCTCTTTCCTCTCTTTTTTTATTAGACATTCCTGACCTAATTTACAGAGAAAAAGAGAGACGGAGATAGAGAGCTAGGGTTTTATCTTTGGTGAAAATTCTTGCTCAGACTTCTCAATTTCCTAACTTGACGTTGTTGTTCATCATCTCATCATCAACCTTTGAATGCTACCCTTGGACTTCATCATCATCGTTGCTCTTCCAGAACTTCGCTTATATCATCAAGAAGGACGGTTTGCAATGTTGAAAGGGCTATAAGATTATTTTTATTTGGACTTAACAATATTGTTTTTATTCTAAACTCTTTTATTACAATCTTGTGATTGGTTTGAGACAACGTACTCAAACCACGACCGATTGAGGTTTTGGTTACTAGCTACAGCTAGGGTTACTCACTTTGAGAGTTAGATTAGATTAGTTTTGGGTAAACTAATGTTTCGGTCTTGTAAGCCTATTGAATCGGGTTTGTAATTCAGAATAACTTTCATCATTGTGATGAAGCCC